ATAAAATATTAAAACAAATACCACAAATTCTAAATTTAAATAAGTTATAGAACTATTTAATTTTATTCTAGTATTTTTCAAATTTTGAAATCTAAAAAGTCAAAACCGTAATAACAATAAATCGAACCTTAATTTATTTTTTTTAAGAATATCATTTAAAGCCTTTATTCCTATTTTACGTTTTCTCACGTTTTAAAGAGATAGTTATATCATATATCAAATAAGAAGTCTTATTTAAAATTACACTTTTTGTTACAAAATAATAGTCTTTTTTTTCTTTAAATTAAGAATTTGAGATAATTTATATATTTACTTATATTATCCTTATAAAAGAAATAAAAAATAAAGTAGATTTTTTGTCATATGATAAGTAATTAAAGTAAAAGGATAAACATTACTTAGGCGGTTGACTACCCTAATGCAAACGTTAATTGATGCATACATAATAAAACAACGGGCGGCATAACAAATTATCTGCTGTATTCTTATGTTGGTCGTAAACTCATTCAACCACCCTAACTGCTTTGGATCCACCACCTCCTCCTCTTTACATTTTCTTAAGCGAACTAGTCCTTAATCTAATAATATTAACTTGTAATTATAGTTGTAAGTTTTTTTTATTTTTTTAATATCTTAAAAATATATTTTATATTTATTTTAATTAAAATTTTATATATTTTTAAAATAATAAAAAATATATAAATTAAAAAATAAAGTATCAAAAAGTGTTATTAGGCATCTTGTTTCTATTGCGTATGCAGTCGGAATTTTCATTTGATAAGTTAGGTAAAAAAAATAAGCTGGGCCTATTTGAGCCAATTTACTTGTCCACACGGCCCACACCCATGACCTCCTTAAACAAGTTAGGTCAAAAATGCCTTTGGGCCCATGTGACCTAATTTACTAATAAAATTTTATATTTATCATATGTTAAGCTCTTGCTCCAAATTAGTTACACTTTTAATTTTTGAGTTAGAGGCAGATATTAAAAAAATTTTAAATATAGTCAACTAGACTTGATTTGATAGTATTGATTTATAATTATAGTTGTAAATTTTTTAATTTTTTAATATTTCAAAAATATATAAAATATATTTAATATATATTATAATTCATATTCTATATATTTTTAAAATAATAAAGAAATATAAAAATCAAAAGTTAAAAGAGTTAAAATGTTATCAAATTTATGTTATAATTTATTTTTATCAAAAATAAAAAATTTTAAATTTAAATTACATAACATGTGAATCAACTAAAAAAATTTTAAAATACATTACCCATTATCCATTATGTAAGTAAGATAAAAAAGAAAAAAAATTTCAATTTTAAATTGGGGGTTATTGTTTTGGGGACGGAACGGGAGATGGCCAATTAAACCGTTTCCATCATCATTTTTCATTTTGTCCTTGTTTTTCTTTTTGTTTCCCAAAATCATCTTTCAAAATTGTGCCGCATATCATTACTCTAAAATCAAATGATAAATAATATCCTAAACTAAGTAGTAATTAATTACTGGAAACGAACATTCATAAATGAAATTAAATGTCATTTTTCTATAAATTAATTAATGCAGACACCTCAGACAAAAGCATAGCGTGTCGGTGAATTATACGTCATCGTCTTTTTCTCTTCTCCACCCGTCTTGTTTCTTCTCCCCCTCTGAAGCAAGCAAAACCAGACAGATTTCATTCACGGAGAATCGGAGGTGAAGGAAGGCGTCGGAAAGTCATGTCTTACGATTACCTCTTTAAGTACATAATCATCGGTGACACAGGTGACTGCTACCGCCGGAACCCTGGTTCTTTTTTCCATCTTGTTTTCTTTGTGTGGGGTTAATTTGGTTTTGGGGTTCGAATTGGCTGGTCCGCAGGTGTAGGGAAATCATGCCTCCTCCTGCAATTCACCGATAAGAGGTTCCAGCCGGTGCATGATTTGACCATTGGAGTTGAGTTCGGTGCTCGGATGGTCAACATCGAGGGCAGGCCCATCAAGCTTCAGATTTGGGATACCGTATGCTCTCCTTTACTGAGTCGTTAGTTCACTTCTTGTTGTGTTCTCCTTGATTATTTTAGTAGAAAAAGAAGAACAAAGATTTTTCCCCTTTGAGTTCGCAACAGTTCTTAGCGTAGAATGGAGTATCATAATCTCTGAATCTTGTCTGTACGAAATTCCGTTCACAGTAAAACGATGCTATTTAAATCTTGTTTCAGTTGATGTTGAATGGGTTGTGGTTTTAATCAAGGGCTTAATGGAGTAATTTACAAATAAGTAGAAGAAATATAAATTCTACAGTTAAATTGATTGAACAAATCTGAGTCAATTTCCTGTTTGAATCTTTTCACAAGACATTTTTAACTCGTTCACGGAACAAAAATCTTGATAGGGAAAGGTTTAGATTCCTGTAATGGACTGGTCTGCTTGTTTTGGTAGTTAAATGGAAGATCCATTGCTTGTCCTTGCTCATTATATTCATCTAGGACCCACTTAAATAAATTATGCGTTTACTTGGATTCTCTAGTAACTTGCTTATGTGCAGTAATTAGCAGTCCAATTGGATATGGTGAGTGGGGGACAAGCAAATGTCGATTGCTAAATGACTAATGCTAGTCCACTATGACCTCTTTTATGTTATTAATTTTAGGTGTGTGATGTGTCCACATTTTCTGGTTCATTTGTGATGAACCTGTCGCCATGTCCCTCTGTCATTGGAAGGAGGATTAGTCCATTGATTGTGATCATTATGCTGCCTCACCATTTAAAAAGTTTTTATGGATTGAATATTTGAATTCGAGAATCTGGTATGTATTTCAGGCTGGGCAAGAATCCTTCAGATCCATCACTAGATCTTACTACAGAGGGGCGGCTGGGGCTCTTCTGGTCTATGACATAACTAGGTGAGAGTTCACTGGCTTGCCTTGTCATTATTTGTAGCTTTTCTTCAGTTGCACTTTTTTCTCCTTGGGTCTTAGCAAGCACCTGAGTTTGCGTCCTGAATCTGAATTCTAGGAGTTTGTTGTTGTATGTTTGGTCCACCAGCAAAATATTTTAGCCTTTAGAGCCTCAGTATGCCTATCCCTAAAGCTGTTTTCCTGTCAACTTTTGTTGAGATGCAGTTTTAGTCTTGCTCAACTAAAACAAAACCTTGCTAACTTTTCCAGGAGAGAGACATTTAACCATCTAGCAAGCTGGTTAGAGGATGCTCGGCAACATGCAAATCCCAACATGACAATCATGCTCGTAGGGAACAAATGTGATCTTGCTCACAGGAGGGCTGTCAGCAAAGAGGAAGGTGAACAGTTTGCAAAGGAAAATGGGCTCTTGTTCTTGGAGGCATCTGCCAGAACTGCTCAAAATGTTGAGGAGGTGACGTATCCACTCAAAAGTGGCATCCCATGTCCTTTTTGTGTATATTAAACCCTCTTGAATTAGAATATTATCTTTATTTTATTTAATTCATGTTTGACTCAAATATTGAAGTATCCTACAGGCCTTCATAAAGACTGCTGCAAAGATCCTTCAGAACATTCAAGAAGGCATTTTTGATGTATCCAATGAGGTACTTATCAACTCTTGTTGTGGAGACATTCTGTTATTATTGGATGGTACAATGAGTTGCAGTTGTTCTGCTAGACTGTGTTTCTGATGCCAAGATAATAGTATATGTTTCATAACAATACCTTATGCCTGCACATGTATTAATTTCATCCTCTATGATGTCTATTTTGCTTTTCATAAACATAGGTTTAATTTTAGTTATTTAATTTTAGTTAGTATAGAGATTGCTTTGACCATTTGCCATTTGGTTTTTGAAATTCATTAAAGTCAGGGTCTAAGCTGTGTGCTGCCTGTGTGGTAGACGCAAGGCTTCAGTGTACTCGTCTAATGTGGATTCGATCAAACCGATATGTCTGTGTTATGCATTAGTTAAGATAGTAATTCAATTTTATGATATCCTTGTCCAAAAACCCTGGAAATTGTCTGACTCAGGAGCCTTTTTATTTGAAATGACTGCAGTCATCTGGCATCAAGGTTGGGTATGGACGGCCCCAAGGTCCACCAGGTGCTAGGGATGGTGCTGTTACTCAGGCGGGTGGATGCTGTGGTTAATTGAAACAGGAACGGTTTCTGTATTGATCCCTTCCTACAATTCTCATCCTTCTATGTATATACCATTGGAAATGCTGAGGAGCTGCCTGAGAGTATTGACTGTATAGAACTGGTCTCGCATTTCTTTAAACTGAACTAGGAATTTATATGCACATAAGAGTTCATTTTCAGTTTCTTGGACATGACTACCTTAAACTTCTCAATGTTATCCTCACTTTCCATTCTTATGTAAATCATCCATCATACTAGTAACAATGG